AATCCAACCTTACTAATACCCCATATTCCCTCTCAAGTTCTCTCATCCTCTTACTTCTGTTCATGCTGCCCAAAATGCCCTTTACCTGTGTCCCAAATTCTTTAGATGACAGCTCAGTCATTTCCTCTTGGATGCCTCCCCTAACCCCTTCCCACCCTGGCTATAGTGGGTACTTCTCTACACTCCCAAAGCACCAGCATTTACCTAGATAACTGCACTCCCTACCTTGGATGATAATTGTTTACTAATGCATTTCCCCCATTAAACTGTAAGTTCATAAAGATGAAGAACATTGCCTTTGTTTCCTTAGCTCTTCGCCTACTGCCTGCTTCACAAGAGACATTTAATAAATATTTATTAATTACACAAATAAATCCTCCAAACAAGCCCCCTGATACCTTGGGAGATTAGCAGTTCAAGATATAACTGAAGATTTTAGAGCAAATTTAAGAGGATTTCTTATGCAATTCTTAGCAGATATTCCTAGAACCATACTATGAAGATTGTCCAGACTGGATAGAATAGGTGTACTGGGGCACTCCGCATTGCTCATTTAAATGAGAAGACTCAGAAACACAACCTTGAGTCAAAGGTTCAAATACATAGCCCTATCTATCAAGTTCAAAATAAAGTAAAATCTTCAAAAGAACATTTTAATATAAGAAGACTTTGTTTTGAAAAAGCTGTGAGGGATAGTTATTTTTTGAAGGCAAAATCTTCTAGAAAAGAATTAGCAGTTATTAACTAGACTTAAGTCCCTATACCTGCCCAAAATGACTCTCAAGTATACCCCTCTCCTCTTCACCAGCCACTTCTTAATCTAACCTCAGGACTCAATTACAACAGTGATTACAACTTCTAGTGAGTACATCACTCTTATCCATCATTTACCCAGCCAGGACATTGATCCTGCCCATTGTATAAACCTGAGGGTCCTCATACTAACATTCAGGACTTTTCTCTCCTTCTACCCCTAATCTTAATATCATTCTCTCCACGTTTCTAAGTGGCCCACCCAATTCCCCACTACCACTTTCCCCAAGACAATATCTGCATATAAGTACTAACAGAAAGCAGTGTACAAAGTGAGCTTATCTCATTGCTGTTGACTAAAAAGCACAGCCAAAAAAAAATTTTTTTTTAATCCCTTCCTTTACATCGCAATCCAACATGCTCCTGCAGGTTGAAAATTCCAAAAGACACTTCAAGCAAGTGCGTTCTTTTCATCATCATTTACCTTTCTGAATAAAAATCATGGTGGAAATTTGCTATGGTAGGAGGGAATCCATCCATACAGCTGGCAAAGCCCTTGCCCAAAAGAAAGATGCAGACTGACCAATTAACTTATCCTAGACAATGCAAATCATCCTGATAACTAGCACATCCCCGATGCCTGCACATGGTCATGCAAAGGAAAGCAAGCACAGCATGTCAGATCCGAGGCTGGCCAAGAAGGGGGTGTCCCTGAGAACTCCCTTCTTTCCAGGCAGAGTATGAGTATGTTTGACTGCCTACCTCTCCATCCTCCTCCCTACACACCCCTCTACACACACACACACAATTATGGAAGGCATATTATCTAAAATTCTATACACTTTCCTGCATTTTTTTTTACAATTTTATACATTAAGCACACTTCTATAATATGAAATTATTTTAAAATATAACTTGAAAGTGATTTGATTGCCCCTTCTTCTTGAGAGAAATTCCCTGTCAATCAACCACATACAAAAGAAGTACAAAAAGTCCCTACAGGATAATCGCATAAAACCTCATTAGGGAAACACTTCTAAAAGAGAAGAGGCAAGAATAATACAAAACAGTATATAGTTCAACACTAATTGAGAGGTAGACATTATAAGAGGTCAGAAAAGAGAAAGATTAATGTCTGATAGAGTAATGGGAGAAAGGTACATAGAAGACACAGATCTTATGCTTAGCTTTAATACAAAAAAAAAAAAAAAGATTTGAGTAATTAGAAAGCAAGTAAGAGGGCATTCCAGGAAGAGAGAACATGAAAGCACAGAGGCAGGTCTAAGGACCTGGAGGAAGTATTACTCTGTGACACCTGCCCAAAGCCAGCAAAGAGCTGTAGTTGGGCATTAACAGTTGACATAGTTAGGAATGCAAAGCAAGTCAAGTTATGAAAGGACCTGAAAGTGGGGACAAAGAATCAGAGATTCGTTGTAATTTATTCCAGGAACTGGGAAGTTATGGAAGGAAAAATAATATTTTACTAGAAGTAACAAAAAAAGTTGGACCAACATTCTTAGATACTGCAAGCTAAGCCAACAGGCCTGAAAGGGCTCCTCCGGGCCAGGAAATTAGTAAATGCCCCTGGTACAAGCAAGGCAACTCAGGCTTAAATTACCATCAAAACCAAGAAGAACAAAAGCAGGAGCTTTAGCACACCACCCAAGCTAGTCACACATGGCTCAACATATAATTACCAGAAGCTGAAAGGGCCAACCTTATTTAGTAAAAGGAGGAAAGCCTGGGTATTTTTAAGACCATTGAAAAAAAATACAACAAACTCATTTGCAACCCATAATTGTTTACTTGTGACTTTTGATCCTGGGATGCTTCTGTTCCCAGATGTGTACTCTATAGTATTCTTTCTACCATGGGCTCTAAAAACTGAAATTGGCACTGAAAAATACCAGGACAATAAGGCTTCAGCTGATTCATTTCCCTGGCTTGCATTATGTCAATTGCCAAGCAGGCCCACGAGAAAGCAGTAGCTCCCATAGCACTGTTAGCACATGCACACATATTATGATTTCAACAGCCTGAAAGTGGCCAAAGCTTGTGATTTCCCAGCAGACGGACTTGATTCACTTTCTGAATTAACAGTGTCCTTGTCCAGAATGTAATTACTCCATTGTTCTTTCTAGAAGCTATCCACTCCAATTCAAGGGTTGTATTCTAAAAAGGAACTTAAAAATTGAGTCAACATTTAACCAAGAAGCTGCATCAGGGTATCACTTAGGTAAACAATACCAAATCCTCAGCCTATATTTTCTAACCAGTGTGTTACCAAAACTTTATCACTTTGCACTACATTGCTGTTGTATAAGAATTTCAAAGTGGTTTATATACTGTGAAACCTCTCCCATAAGGGAAGAAGAAATTCTCCACAGTTCACAGATTTGGAAATGTAGGCCACATAAGGTTGTGACTTATAGTTCAAAGACTAAAAACTAATAATGATGATAATAACAATTAAAGCATTTTCACAATTTTTCTTATTTTTCTTTATTGATTTGAAGAAGGGGAAGAAAGAGAAAGAGAGAGAGAAATACTGATTTCTTATTCCACTTATTTATGCATTCATTGGTTGATTCCTGTATGTGCCCTGACTGGGGACCAAACCCAAAACCTTGGTGTATTGGTATAAGACTCTAACCAACTCAAGCACCTGGCCAGCGCCCCGTTTTCACAATTATCTCACTTAACTCAAGTCACTGCTCTAATTTTAAAACTTCCTTCTGTGATACAATGTAAAACCTTCAACTACAAGTTTGGATCCTGGCTCTTGGAAAAATAATTTAAGTCTCTATGCCTAAATTTACCCATGTGCATAATACCTTCCTTACAGGATATTATAAAGATCAAATAAGTTAATGAATATGAAAC